AAAACCTTCGACTTCGGGATAGATTCAGCGACCTCGACTTAGGGATTGCGGGATGTGTTCGGCGGATGCAGCAAACAAAAAATCTTCGTGAAATTAGGGCAATGAATAGTCATTTATCTTAAAATATAGATATATTTTTAAATATAAAAAATATTTATAAGTATACAGAAATTTAAAAACAATATGGCGCGCTATTTTGCGCCGTGCGCAATGCGCCATAGCTCACATGTGGCGCAAATAGCGCGCGCTATTTTAAACACATGCGCCTCGCCATGAACATGGCGCCGTAGGTGCGCCGCGCCGCGCCGTGCGCCATGGCGCGCGCTATTTTGCGCCATTGACAGCTATGGTACCCATGCAAGCATGCAGGTGCATTTTGCAAGTTCTTTAAGAAATATATAATTATTTTGTGAGAACATATCATAAAATGTGTCGATACACTTTGCAAATGCATCAAAGAGTATGCACAATATATCAAATCATTTAAATTAATTGCTCCTGTATGTGCTTTGATTAATTTATTAACATTCAAATCTAGAGATCAAAATGTTGTGCGGGCTAAAAAAAAAAGTGAACCCAATCTCTTTTTGCTCTGAAAAGCATTTAATTGATATGTAAAACATGCAATCATTTTTTTTTATATGTACTAAATCTCTTAAAAATTAAATTTGTCTACATATGCTCCGACAAATGTCCTGAATGCTTGAATTTAACATTTGAGAATGCTGCGTGAATTGAAAACAAGTTTCGCAAAATTCAATCTTTTTCAAGAGTCATGCAATTTATCTTTTGGAAAAGTGTTATCACTTCGATAATTCGCAAATCATCTCTTTCAAAAATCAGATTCACCGGCATAAATGCATAATGCTTTCAAGAACACTGCCCGATTATAGGATAGAGTCATAATTTTCATATTTCAAGTCTGATTCTTCTGTTAGGACAGAGTCGATGAGATATCAATTTCCTTAGAGATACCAAAACAACAAATATTAAATGGTTAGCCATAACTCATGAATGAATTCAGGATTGTAAAATTTGCAAAGATATTTGATTCTACATTTGCATTAGGCTTTTAATGTCTTTTATAAAGAAAATTTATTAAAAAATATAAACTCTCAAGTTTATCACTCACATGGGAGCTCACAAAGTTAATGCTTGAGCCCGATGATCTGTTAGCAAGCGGGCATAGTTGATAAGGTTCAAATAATAAAATAAAATCCTTCAAATATTCAAGTGAATTTAGCCTTTATAACTTCAACCGAAATCCATCTATCCTCCACAATGGTTTGCTAAGGGTGATAAATTTGAGAATAATCTCAACTCACAAATGACTAATATTTTGTCGAGCTTATCGTTATGATTCATTCTCAAATGTTCGCTCGTTAGTAAGGACATGACGCATGTCTTCTAGCCAGTGAATTTGTAGCCAAATGATACATGTAAATAATTATGACTAGGGCTCTTTGACTGGGTGATTTTGCTGTAAAATGATATGAAGAAAATTTTAATTCATTAATTTTCTTACAAAAAATTAGTACTACATCTATATATATATATATATAGACTAAAAAAAAAGTCGAATAAAGAAAATAATTACCTAGCTAAATTCTTTCTTAATTGAAAATAATTAGGAAAGAGAATCATAGGAGAATAATTTTTTCTAAAATTTAGGAAATAAAATCACAGGAGAAGATTACAATCGATATCTCATTTTTTTCTTAATAATACTTTCCTAAATTAAAATTTCTAATTATAAAAAAAAATCATAGGATAAAATCACAATCGTTCTCTCTTTTTATTCCTAAAATATACTTTTCTAAAATAAATTTCATAACTTTGACTTTCAAATATTCAACACTCCCACTCAAAAGCTGATATGACTATTACTACATCTCTGGGGCGTTCTTTCAGATCACAATGATCTTCATGTGTCCCACAAGAAGCGTTTTGAGCCTGGGTGTGTCATTTTATGTGTTGTAGAAGAAGCTATATTATGACTTCATGACTTTAATGTGTAGTCAATGTCACCAGATATCTTGATCAAGCTTTCATTGTAGTGTTAGCGTTCCCAAAAATGCAATCAATAAGCCTCTCGAGGTGTCCTTAACTTCAAAGACAACCAACATACCCTTTCTCAAGATTGGATTAAAAATATTGGTTGGAACCTGGGGAATATCTGAGTTGATGTTATATTAAGTTTCTAACTATTCTTGGGGAAAAAAAGCATCTTTCGATTCTTATTAGATTTTTCTTCATCTTCAACTTCTTTGTTTTGTATTTATCGTTTATTTGACTAGCTTAGTTGCATCCTTTTAGAATCTGAAATATTAAACTCTGCATTAATGTGACTACTAGCCCTTCTATTATGCTCCTTTAGCCTGAATGAAAGAAAAGTGGATTTATTGCAGATAGGCTCCTTTGGTGCAATCACAAGGATTGTTAGTATTGTGACCAATCGTGAGGACTTACTCAAGCTTGCAGCTGCTGGACCGTTGGCTGGATTCTTATTGGGTCTTTTATTTCTTCTATTGGGTTTGATCTTGCCTCCTGCTGATGGCATTGGGGTCATTGTTGATCCAGCTGTTTTTCATCAGTCATTTCTTGCTGGAAGTATTGGTGAGTATATATGCTTTCTTAAGTCATCAATCTTAGGTGCATAAGGTTTCTTTACACAAATATTTTTTTTCAACTCTGTACATTCTGCATTTTGCCTCCATTGGGTCACAAGCCTCAACTTTTACACATATTTGGTTCATTTACATAAGCAATATTTTTGTGCACCCAATTCATAATTTATTATGTAGTACATAGAAAAATGCATTCTACTGTTTCTATTATTCTACTAGTATGAGGATGAAGAAACTAAGTGGAGATAAATCATTAATATTGAAAAATCTTTTGTTTGGTGAATCATAGAAATGTTATGTGAACCCATTGATGGGCGAGGGAACGATTGATTCTAATTTGTTGGTTACTTCGTATTTTGTGTGGGAGCGAGGGAGAATAGAGCAGAAGTTGGGGAGGCTTACCTCATTAGTATCTTAATGTCGCTCAATACAGATTATTTATAGAAATACAAGACTACGTATGACTCAATGCTAACCTATTAACAACTTAATAATCCTATTAAACTCATCAACCTATTACAGTTATTTAACTATTAACATACACAAACCATTATAAATCCCTAACAAAACCATAAGAGTGCATCTTCTTCATATTGTATATTTTGGTAATTTTTTTGGATAAATTCTTTATAAAGATGGCATTTTCCATTTCTTATAAGTATGAAAAACGTTTTTCCATTGGATAACTATTCAAGCTTGCTGTGTCCTATACTTTATGCTTGCAGCAAAGCTTGTTCTTGGAGATGCTCTGAGAGAGGGAACTCCTTTATCTGTGAACCCACTTGTTCTTTGGTCTTGGGCTGGGCTTCTCATTAATGGTATAAACATGATTCCAACAGGGGAGGTTGATGGTGGTCGTATATCATTTGCTCTCTGGGGAAGAAAGGTACTTCTTTACTTGCCAGTTTTAAACATGTTATCCCATAATTCAACAATTAGGACTCAAACTATCTTCATTAATTTGTTTTTTATTTTTCATGTTTTTAAGATTATCTAAAACAACTAATTTGTTGATATAATTATCACATCTTGGATATAATAATTTCTTTACATATTGAAGAATTTATATCAGGATTTTACCTTGTCTAGGGCTGTCAAATAGCTAGTTCGTCTTTGAGACATAATTAGCTCAAAATTTAGTAATTTTAATAATCTCATACATTAGAGGCTAAACAGGAGCAAATCATGTTTGATCATGTCAGGCTCAATGATACATACATATATGTATGTATGTACAACATGTGTATTCTATAATTTACTTATGACTTTCAAGTAGACTTTGGCTTTATTTGGGACGATTTTCTTTCTGCTTCTTAAAGCTGCTTTTTTGTACAAAATTTTAAAATTTTGTACTAGAAAGCTATTTTAAGAAGCATAAAGAAAGCCGTCCCAAACGAAACCTTTGTGTTCGCAAACAGTTTGTGTTTGACTCAATAACTTAATAAATCAAATACAAAAAATTCTAACTATTTTGCTTAACAAGCTAAGCCAAACAATACTTGTGCTTGCTCAAGCTAGGCTCATTATCATCCCTGTCCTTACTTTAGTATTTAACAACTATTGTAGGTTTCTACTCGATTAAGTGGCATCACTCTTGCACTGCTTGGAATATCTTCACTATTCAGCGATGTCTCTTTTTATTGGGCAGTTTTAGTATTTTTCTTACAAAGAGGTCCAATTGCTCCACTACATGAGGAGATCACCGAACCTGGGGAAAAATACATTGGTATAGGTGTTGCAGTTTTATTACTGGGACTTCTAATATGTTTGCCTTATCCCTTCCCTTTTGTTAATGATGCAACAAATTTTGAATTTTGAATTATTTATATTAAGCATACATACATATCTTCAATTTATTTCAAGAATGGCTGGTGGAATCCTTGCAGATCAACATGTTTTATCTTTTATATTTTCTCTTGATGCCCATTTTCTATTTTTTTAATTTAGATTGCATTGAATTGCATCAAATTGAGCTTAAATTATTAATTCAAACGGTAATTTGCAAAAAAAAAAAAAGCGTACTTATAAAGTTCTACTAATTTAACTTACAACACAATAGCATTGGCTAGAAATTTAAAAAAAAAAAAAACTCATTATTTAGGTATGCTAACACTACTCTGAATATTTGATTAATAAATTTTTTGTAATATAAAGTTAAAAATAAAATATTTAGAAGGTTCATTATTCACTTCAAAGGACTTTTTTTTTAGACTTAAGCTAATTAAGATAAATTCGTACACATCACATATGTAAATTTTAAACTTAAAGACTTTTTAGTTGATAGATACGACTTCCAACTAATACATCAAAGTAAGCTGAAGTACATAAAAGGATGTCAATCTTATAATTTATTAATATTTATCCGATTTCAAAGTTCTTAATTTCCTTGTGGTGGCCTAAGCAAGTTCTTACCTCATGCTCAAATGACAAGATTTAACATATGCACAAAGTCACAGTTCTGCATGTTTCCAACCTTTGGAATTAAGGACAAAATAGAAAGAGAGGGAGGACAAAAAGATGCATGGAAAGATACTTCATATGAGGTCGCCACCTTCGATGTTGGAAAGCTTGCTCTAAAAAAAATTCAGGCAACGGATCCCACAAAGCTCTCATTTCTGGAGCTATTGACCATAGTTCTGACCTTCAGAATGAGAGATTATTAGGTGCGGAGTGCGGACGGGGAGAACCGTTCATACAAGTATTGTTGGGCGTTAGGTACCCGCACTCGGTACCGCTGGGTACTTCTGGGTACAGCTAGGTATCAATGTTTGCGCGGACGGTGTGCACTCCGCACCTAATAATTCTTCTTTCAGAACACCATGCGTGATGACTCTTCTTACTAAATATGTTCACTCCTCTTTCCACTAATATCAAACTTCCACCTCCCCTCAACATCCCTTTCCAACGCTTCATGGCCGAGCTCTTCATCAAACAAAACGCTCTAACGGAAAGAGCTGTTATTCTGTGCGGACACCGGATGGTTCTCTCGTCCTATATTTTGAAATAAAAATTTTTATATTAAAAAATTGCTTTTTAAAAAGTAGTAAGAAAATTATCTTAAATGAAACCTAAATAATTATTTTTTTTTCTTTTTAAATTATGCTTCAAAAGATTATGATTATGCTTAGCTAGGTGGACCCAAGTTCTCTTTGTTAAGTTATTCATTTTATACCAAGAAAGTCTTGCTTAGGCGTTTGAATTTAATTTCAACACTTCTTAATAGAAATAATTTTTTGAAATTTATGTCGTTCAAATAAATTTTCTTGATACATGTCGTTCAAAAAAAGCTGGTAACTCTATTCATTACTGTATTTTTTTGGGGGATATTCTTCTTGTTTGTTTATTTATGTATCTTCAACATTTATATATGACTTTTAAGTTGGATGAACTCATGCTTAGGTGTTTCTCCTAAAAATTCTCATAGTAAAATTCTATTATTTTTATTTTTGAATTTTGTTAAATATCCTAATGTGAAAATATTTTTTGATTTATCTACCAATCTAAATCACATAAAATTTTGTAGAGTTGCCACTTGATATGTAAATTGCACATAAGATATTTTGGATTTTTTTTCAAAGTATTTTTTGCCGTAAAAAAGTTTTTGATGACCTTTGGTTGATGATTTCTACACAATATTTCTTGTACGAAAAAAAAATATATTAAAATTTTAGATACATAATGTTTTTCCAGTGTTTGTGTCTTTATACTATATGCTCTCTTTCATCTTATAATATTTAAAATTTATGACATAATTTATACCGAGAGTTTTTAGATTGTACCAAGAACTCCTTCAGAAGCTTATACATTGAAAGAAGTTCAGTCAATTTGCCTACAAGATGTCAGACCAAGGAAATTATCGAGTCCTATAGAAGGTGATGACATGACATCTATCACCATTAGAGATGTTTTGGTGATTCTTCGGAAAAAAAATCCCTTTTTCTAAATAATTTCGTGGCTATAACTCCTAATAGATTCAATCGAGTTCATAGTCATTACGGAGAAGCTCTAATCTTCCTTTGAAAGAGGCATTGATTGCCCTCTTAGGCAACTAGATTTGGAGACGATGAAGACTTTTACTCCCCATGGCAAGCCTCTGGTCTTCCCTTAAAAGACAAGTTGATTGACCTAATTGGGAGACAAAATTTGGAGGCGATCAGGACTTTTAGTCTATATGATGAACTTTCAATCTTCTCCTGAAAGAGACATTGACAGTCATCATTGGGCAACTTAATTTAGAAACGATCAAAACTTTTAGTTCCTACAATGAGGCTCTGATTTTTTCTTTGAAAGACTATGCTTTGCCTTATCAAGCAACCAAATTTGGAGGCAATTATTTGGAGCCTCTACAGTGAAGCTCTAGTCTTCCCTTGAAAGAGGCATTTATTGTCCTCATTGGGCGACATGATTAGAGGTAATCAATACTTAAAATCTTTATGACAAGGGCCTAGTATTTCCTTAAAAGAACATTGATTGTCTCTATCATGAAATCTGATTTGGGAAGTGATCAAGAATTAGAGTCTCTATAATGAGGCTACAAGTTTTCCTTGAAAGAGGCATTGATTGCCCTCATTGAGTTGTCAAATTTTGAGGCAATCAAGGCTTTTAGTCTCTAAGGAGAGATTTCAATCTTCCTATGAATGAGGCATGATTTTCTTAGTCATGTGACTTGATTTGGTGGTTATCAAGACTTTTAGTCTCTATGGCAAGGATATGACCTTCCCTTAAAAGACACATTGAGTGTCTTCATTGGATGACCGGACCTAGAGGTGATCAATACCCACTTTTGCACTTCTTCTCAGAAGTTATATTCCAATATCAATGATGCAAACATCAACATTAACCTTAATGCAACTAAAATTATTTAGGGTGTGTTGTAGCCAAGTCAAAAATTACTTTCTTGAAAATCAAGTTTAAGAGAGTAGAGACTGCCCATTGGAAGCTAAGACATGGGATTGAAGGTTGAAGTATTTATAATTTTTTTTGTGATGTTGATATCATGTAATGACTATGTATATAAATTTAAAATAAGACTTCCTATTTATACAAATGTATATTTCTTCATGTATTCATACAAGCTTTGATTGATATTTCTAATCGAGTGGTTGAAAATCAATCTTTTCCATAATAGTAATACAATGATTCTAGAAACTAGCCTTGAGTAGGGGATTGAACTTTCTTGGATGCCTACCTCTCTTAGCATGATGTAATTTTAACCAAGCTACTTATTTATGTAAAGGAGGCTCATGAATAATTCTTTTTAAAATTTATCTTTCTTGGGTTGGTAGTACGAGGCGCCACTCAAAACCTTAATACGTGATGGAAGTTGTTGAGAGATATCCACCAAGAATTTTGAAATATTTGAGTTTATTTTTTAGAATATTATTTGATGACATTAATATATGTCGAAGAGATCAAAAAAATTCACCAATGATACTTGATATATTTGAGGTTGTCTATTTGAGTGTTGACTGCTGATGTGAAACTATGTGAAAAAGATTGAGATAAATCTATCAAAGATGTTTGACATATCCAAGATTATTTGTCAGATAATTTCTTAATGATATTAACTTTTGTAACATAGGTTGTGAGAAATCTATCAAAAATATTTGACATTTTTTAGATTGTTTGTCAAAAATATTTCTCTATTATATTAATCTAGTGTAAGAGTTTGAGAGAAATCTACCAATAATAGTTGACGTATTTGAGGTTATTTATGAGAGAGTTGCTTGATGTCAATAAGTTTTAATAAAAGTTGATGAAATTCCACCAAGAATGTTTGATCTCTCTGAGGTTATTTGTCAGAGCACTATTCGATAAGTTAACCTTTGCACAAGAGGTGGAGTTGAATCCCCTTGGGATTGATTGTATTTTAATTAAAGGAGTTGAATGACATATGTATCTTAAAGCAAAGGTGAAGATATGACATCTCCAAGTTCAACATTTAGTTTACCCATTTTGACCAAATTGGAAAAATGTAAATATTTAAATATTTTAGTTTTTAAATCATTTGCATGTCTTTGGGAGTGTTTTAGTGCATGAAAATGATTGCGTGTGATCTATAATGAGTCCTAAATGTTTGGTGTGAATTTTCATAAAATCTAGAGCGCCTCAACGCTAGTTGTCCGAGTGCCTCAGCACTGCTACAGTACCAGACGCTAAATATTGACATTGCAATGCTCCGGTCTTGAGTTTTGAGATTTTGAAGTAGCACCTAAGTGCTCGGATTGAGCGCCGTAGCGCTAGGCCTTTTTGAGCACTTTAAATATATTTTAAAAGTACCATTCCATCCATTTGATCAAGCATTTGACAACTACAAAAGAAAGAAAAAGAGGGCTTTGGAGAGGAAAAAGAGGATTTTTTAGGTCACCTTCAATCGTTTTTAGCTGTCAAGTAAGTTGAAAAAGTTGTTCGGATCAAGTTAGGTCACATTATGCCGATCTCAAATTTAAAAAATATAAAGTTTTTTTTTTATTTTGTTACTAAATTGCCATTTTTATTAGCGAAAAACATGAATAACTCTACACTTAAAAAAAATTAAGAGATTATACCTATTTTTATTATTTTCTAAAAAACAATTAAGGGATATTTTGGAAATGTGTAGTTTTATGAAATAAAAAATAATCTAGAAACTTAAAAATAATATTGTTGTGAAATTGAAGTCTTAGAATAATATTTTACACAATCTCTAATGATTTGATTATGTTCTGAAGCTGTGAAATTTTACTCAATAGGAATTTTTATTGCTTATTGTTGCAAAAAATTATTCAATTTTGACACATACTTAATTATGCTTTAATTATTCTAATATGATGAAATATGTACTTATATGATTGAATTATGACTACTAGGAGATATAAGGGCC